GCTGGGATGGCTTATGAAATCCAGGAGTGTATTGGCCAAACCAGGATGTATGGTTACCCTAACTATAAATCCCAGGTCTTTCGCAGTACTGCACGCCAGCCAGTTATTTTATCCCAGCTGAAAATGTAGGGCATTTCCCTTTGTCCTTATTGAATTTATTTAGGATTATTTTCTAGGCCAATTTAAATCCTAATCTTATCCTCTAAAGCAGTGGGGACCAATCTTTTTGGCAGGCATGCTACAAATTAAGCTCCACACCCTCTGCAAGTGCCATGCTAAACCTCTTCCTCTGCCTAATGTGTTGCTATGTTTTCTGTTCTCTACCCTATCTTCCCTGCCTGATCTGCTCCATTAATTTCTGCTCCCTGCCCCCTCCCTGATCTTCTGTGTGCCACACAAAGAGGCTACCTGTGCCGCTTCTGACAAGTGTGCTGCAGGTTGGGCGCTCCTGCTCTAAAGTATCTGCAACTTTGCCCTGTTTGGTAATGCAGCTGACAATACAAAAGTGTCTTTGCATGAATAGCGCATTCTAGCCCCCCTCTACTACAAGTGAAATCAGCTACTGCAGCAAATAAATGCAGTTTGCTGAATACAACCACATCTGCGCTATTAGCTTTTGCCAGTGCAGCTATATTGGTCAAAAATCACAGCACCTGCCTAACACAGCTATGTCAGCAAAAAAATTGGGGCCTGACATTTCAGAGATGCTCAGGAGCCACATATCTCATTCCCTTTAGTAGCAGTTGTCTCTTGTTCAAAAGGGAAGCTCTACACATAAGAGGACAGCCAAAGTATATGAATCTGCTTGGCGCTGGTCAAATGTCCGAAGGTTCCCTCGACTTGCAAGACCTGAATAAAGAGTCCACTGGTTATTCAAATTGTAGGTGAGTGCACTGGGAATTTTGTTTAGGAGGGATTCTGGTGTGATTCACCATACAGCTTTTGCCACTGATTACCTGCCTGTATTTTGTGCTGCCTGGAACCACTGGCCAGCTTTTAACATCATCAGCTACTATAGATCTGTACTTGCAGGTCCAGCTTTTGTGAACTAATGAGGGAGACTAAGTGGAAAAGGCGACAATGATGAACCCTGATGAGACCCCTAACTAATTTTATTGGCGCCAAGAATGATGGAGCAGTACTTGTTGGGGAAAATATTGCATTTGCACTCTCCCAAACAACAGGTGGACCATGGCTATGTCTGGATCCTTGTCTGTGGCAGCAGCTGCTCCTCTGAAGATTTTTTGGTTGCAGGTCAGCACACTATGGTCAGATAGATGTGGGAGAAACTCCAGACTGTGCAGTGGCATTTGTGGGAGTGGACTGTCATGGCCACCTGGGACAACAAGTAGTAGTGGGCAATTGTATGTCCAGGGGCATCTTCATAGATATCTGCACCAAGCTTGGCCCAACCATACAGCAGTGGATAATGGTGGCACAAGTGCTGTCATCTGTGGAGAAGTGCATTGCCACTGTTATATGAAAGCTCACAACCCCAGATAGCCTCTGGTCTATAGTAAACCATTTTGGCATGAGCAAGCCAACAGCTGGAGAAGCAGTACGGGTGTACCTGGCAATCCAATGGGTAATGGCCTCAAATATCATATGCCTTGCTGATCCACAGAAGGTTGTGGATAGATTTGCCAGCCTGAGTTTTCCCACTGTGTAGGGGCAGCCAGCATAACACACATTGCGACCATTTCCCTTGTGAACGATGGTTTTGAATTCATCAACCAGAAGGGCTACTTCTTGATCATACTTCAGGCACTTGTGAGGGCAGGGGGAGAGAACACATGCGAAGAGCAAACAGTCCCTCCCCTATCCTGCACCAGGGCATTCTGCCTAAGGCAGCCAGCAGCTTCTAAGCCCAGGAAAAAGCCTCTTACCTTCAATGGATAGCAGCAGCAGCCCAACCACATGGAGAGGCTGACCACACGTGATTATAAGAGCAGCCAGTCAAGGAAGCAGGAGGCTTTTGGTGCAACTATTCAAGCAGCTACATCACTGCCTGCCTGCTTCCCTGCTCCAATCATGCTGCTCTCCACCTTCAATAAGAAGAAACTAAGGCAAGCCAAGAACATCTCATCCCAACCCTACAGGAACCCTCCATGTTGACTGGCTGATGCTAAGCTCAGCATCAGATTCCCTGCTGATTGGCTGGGAGCCTAGCAGAGCAGAGAAGCATTTTAAAAAAAATGAATTTCCTCCCTGCCTGTCAAGAAACAACGGGTGGGTGTGGGGTTGGGGGGGGGGGGACGGGGACAGATGGCTGCTACTGCTGTTCGTGCCTATTCCAGTGACGCAGGGGGAGGGGGGCAGGGGGGGATGGCCGGAGCGTGGGCTTTTCAGCAGTGATCAGAGGCTTTGGGAGCAAGGCCTCTGCTGCTGCTATTAAACCTGGCTCTAAACCTACCCCTTCAGCCAGTCAGGGTGTGTGTGTGTGGGGTGGGGGTACATTATGATCTGGGAGTGAAACTGGCAGCCCTGCCACAGTCAGGCTACAATATTAGTGACCTGGGCCTGCGATTTAAGCCAAGGGAGGGGAAGGGAGCAACCCAGAATATATAAACACCCAAATGACTTCTGATCACCTCTCTGTTCACTCATGAAGCTGAGAATGTTCGTTGTACTATAAATGTTTTCCCGAGCCAGAAGAAACATTTTAAACTATCAAAAAACAAAAATTTTAACGTTTCAAAAACAGTTTTGGACAGCCATCTTAAATACCTTCCACCTGAGATGGAAATTCATTCCCCTTTCCCATTTTAGAGCATCAGAAGCTTTAGTTTGAAACTGCATCTTTCAAGTATTGTCTGTTCCAAAAGAAGCAAAGTAAAATTAAAAACAAACATATGAAACAAATAATTCCACTGTTTCAAACCCAACCCTAGGGAGTGGAGCACAGAATATAAAATATTACATGTGAAGTGACAATTGAAACAAGGTTCCACCCACCCTACTGTTAAATGTTATTAACACCCTAGAAGATCTCAGATCAGCTTACTTGATTAATGTAAGCCACATTCATCCCTCTCTCTGATAAAGGTAATTTACACTTGGATTGCCCAAGTGTAAATTGATGTCCAGCTCTTCATCCTGGTGTCAGTTTGCTATATTAAGGATGGTATGACAGTAGGGATGGCAGGGCTTGAGGAAGGGTGGCAGGAAGTAACCATGTCACATACAAAATAGACACTGTATTAATAATTTTAAATGTCTGACCTCAAGCTTTAAAAAATATCAGAGGATAGAAACAGAAATTCAGTCAAATAATAAGATTAATATACCAAATAACTATATTCTTTTCCGCCATTATAATGGCTTGTTTCATTTCTTAATTGCTCAGCCAAGTAATTTGAAAGTGTGATATATTTCTAAATATTTCATTTTGTAGCCTGTACAGATCAGATTGCTTTGTTTTCATTAATGATTTAGTGAAACTTTCACCGATACTAATGAACCAGCAACAATTTCCCTCTGGCAATATGAAGCTAAATGCTACATGGAACTTTAGTGGCATAACCTAAGTTAAAGTTCCTCCCTTTTTCTGGGATCTTCCCTCACCCCAGGTAAAATCCTGAGGAACAACCCACAGCAGAACCTGTTGAGACGCATACAGTAAAGTAATATGTCTGCATTACTGAAACCTTGAATCATGACCTGGCCATCTGTATATAGCTTTATATTTCTTTCAGAGTACCAGACAAACATTAAAAAAACCCACAAGAGACATGTAGCAAATTAATTTAGTGTGTTATATTTCTGAAAATTATAGTGAATTGTACATTTTCTTAGTTTGTGGGACTTTCCTCTTTATCAGTTTAAGTTCTGAATGTTAATTTTTGTATCTTTTATCATCTTTTTCTTTTTGTTAGCCAAAGCAGAAAATGAAGAGAGTTTTGTTAGAACTGTATATCTATAGTAATTTCCTATCTATTGCTTATCTTACTCATGCAAATATCCAAACGCAAAAGATTTCTCCAATACAGGGAATGTCAAAACCCACTTGCTCTACTCATATGAATAATTTCACAAACTTTGATAGATTTATATATATGAATAAGACAGGTTTGCCCCACCAGGCACCAAATAGTATTATAACCTTTTAAAATAATATTAATATAATTGGGATTCTAGACTGAGAACTTACAGGTCAAGATTTTAGGACATATATTGTTTTACAATGTGGGTTTATTTTATGAATATCAAAATAAGGAACTATGCCATGAACCAGTAATAATGTGGGTAGGTCCTGTGTGAGCTTCCCACACACAGCTCTGCCAATAAACTCTAATTCTGAACTGCAACAATCCTGCTATTCCAGTCTGGATGGCCCCTTGAGCCGAGATCTTTAATCAAGTTATATTGTGTAGTTGTTTCTGAACACAGAGCACACAATAAGAAACTAAAGCAGTCACAAATGACAAAGTGTATATTGATGTAAGACAAGAGAGCCTGGAACAATCAAGATTTTCAGAAATAAATTCACATATGCTAAGTCTTGGCGCACAGAAAATTTCTAAAGTGAAAATTGTTAATGTTTTCAAACATGAGGTTAAAGTCAAAGTGCAGAAAAGATCTTGATGACAGCAGCTTAACTAGTGGTGATGTAAGACATGCTATAACCAGCTGGAGTCCCTATGCCAGCAGTAGCGTGGGAACTGCTCTTTCTTTCTCAATGTTCCTGGGGCATAAGATACCTAAAGGGGGCAGGGAAGTCTGGTGAGAAAAGAGAGCCACAGCCTTTCACCATCACTTCCAATACATCTGTCAATGTAGCTGGCAGGCTTTTTGTACTTAACACAGTGGGTTCCTTTAAAACACTCATATTTTCTTAGTATATGAATTGAGCCTAGATACATTAATTTTTTGATTGTCCAGTGTCTGTCCTCAAATGAGAAAGGGTTTATTTGATAACTTCTCATTGATCTTTATCAAATAACTTAAACCCTAAATATAATTATGCAGCAGTTTTCTATCAAAAGAAATATTTTACTTACCATCAAAGTCCACATCCCCTACTAATTTGGTCTTCCCTGTAAGAGGGTCGTGGATGTGGTTGATTCCTACATCAATCACAGTGGCACCTTCTTTAACCATATCAGCTGTAATCAACTTGGGAATACCTGAAATCATTAAGACTTATTTGATTAACAAAACCATGCATAAAAAATATGTTTTCAGTTGTCACTTATATTAAAAACAGAAAACATTGTGTTAGTCTCTCAGTATCTTTTTTTCTCCTATGTACTGTACGTAGAAAATATTCCACAATTATTTTGTGGTCTTGGATTTGCATTATGAGGGTCAGAAGCAAAGCTGCTCACAAGACTTGAGCCTAAGAGAGTAAACACTCCATTAGGCCATGTAAGATACTATCTCTACAGCAAATTCTTTGTTTTTTTATATTTTAATATGCATCTTACCTTTCCTTTGCTGATTTCTTGTTGGAGTGAATCTGTAGCTGTGATGGTCCAGGAAATATTTCATAGATTTCATAGACATTAGGGCTGGAAGGGACCTCGGAAGATCATCGAGTCCAGCCCCCTGCCCAAAGGGCAGGAAGTCAGCTGGGGTCATAGGATCCCAGCAAGATAAGTATCTAGTTTGCTCTTGAAGGTGTTCAATGTAGGCGCTTGAACCACCTCTATATTCATAGATTGTAAAGCCAGAAGGGACCTCAAAGATCATCGGGTCCAGCCCCCTGCACCAGGCATCAGGTGACCCCAGCAAGATGACTATCCAGTCTCCTCTTGAAGATTTCCAGGGTAGATGATTGCACCACCTTTGGAGGGAGCTTATTCCACAGCCCCTGATATAGCAGTAAACTCCTACCAAGTCCCCTCTCAGCCTTCTCTTTTTCAGGCTGAAGAGTCCCAGGTCCCTCAGCCTTTCCTCGTATGGCTTGCTGTGCAAGCCTCTAATCATCTGGGTGGTCCTTCTCCGGACACTCTCAAGTTATACCATGTCCTTATTAAAGTGTGGCGCCCAAAACTGGATGCAGTACTCCAGTTGGGGGTCTCACAAGTGCCAAGTAGAGCGGGAGAATCACCTCCTTGGTCTTGCTGGAGATGCATTGATTGATGCATGCCAGAGTATTGTTTGCCCTGCTGGCAACAGTCACATTGCTGGCTCATATTCATACTGTGGTCTATTATTACTCACAGGTCTCTTTCATTCATAGTGCTGGTCAGGTTGGTGTTGCTAGGCCTGTAGGTGTACATTCAATTGTTGGTCCCCAGGTGAAGCACTTTGCATTTCTCAACGTTGAACTTCATCTGGTTCTGACTGGCCCAACTTGCTAGCCTGTCTAGGTCCACCTGTATCTGAAGCCTATCTTCAAGCGTGACCACGCTTCTCCATAACTTGGTGTCACCTGTGAACTTGGCCAGTGAACTCTTCCCCTCCTCATCCAAATCACTGATAAAGATGTTGAAAAGTACAGAACCAAGCACCAACCCCTGAGGGACACTGCTGCCCACTTCTCGCCAAGATGACAATTCCGTTCATTAGGACTCTCTGGGTCCTACCCTGCAGCCAGCTTTGTACCCACCTAACTGTCTCGCAGGTAAGCCCACTGTCTTCCAATTTTCTTGTTAAAACATCGTGGAATACTAGATCAAAAGCTTTTTGGAAGTCAAGGTATACAACATCCACCACTTCTCCCTTATCCAGGTGGCAAGTCACCTGATCATAAAAGGAGATGAGGTTGGTTAGACAAGACCTGCCCGTGATGAAGCTATGTTGGCTGTCATTCAGAATCCTACCTTCTACAAGCCTATTGCACATAGACTCCTTAATTAATTTTTCCAGGATTTTCTCTGGGATAGAAGTTAGACTAATTGGCCTATAGTTACCTGGGTCCTCCCTCCTCCCTTTCTTAAAGATGGACACAACATCAGCCCTCTTCCAGTCCTCAGGGACTTCTCCGGAGCACCACAAGTTTTGGAACAGTTTCGCCAGGGGCTCCGCGATGATGTCGGCCAGCTCCTTCAGCACCCTCATATGGAGTTCATCCGGTCCTGCTGACTTGTATGTGTCTAATTTTTTTAATTGATCACACACCAGTTTTATGGCAACAGTAGGGAGGCAGTCATTTCTGCCCTGCTCATTCTGTACCCTATCTGGCATGATTTTCCCCGTGGCCCAGTGAAACACTGAGGCAAAGTAGTCATTCAGGAGTTCAGTTTTCTCCTGAGTGTCTGTAACCAGCTGTCCTGAGTTGCTGAGCAGCGGCTCCACACTCCCATTTGCTTTCCTCGTGTTCCCTACATACCTAAAGAAAGACCTTTTGTTGCCCTTGATTCCTGTTGCTAATCTAAGTTCAGTTGCCGCCTTAGCCTTTCTAATTTGTTCCCTACAAGTGCGGGCTGTTGTTTTATAGTCCTCCTTGGGCCTGTCTATGCAAGATGCAAGGATTTTTTAGGGTGGTATCTTATTGGGCCAACTGCATAGTTGGGAGAGATCTTAGACAAGATTTCTGGCAGAAGGTACCCTTCCTCAGAGACAGTCTCATTTAGTGGTGGATGAACATAGGAAGTAGATGGTTTGGAACTGCATCACCACAGGTAACTATACCCTCTTGCACACCCTGGGGTGCTATGAATCCTTTTAAGGGTGCCACACAATATTAGCACAGTTAGAAGTGCAAACACCTATACAAGTCACAAGATAAACCCAGAGATTCCAAAAGGAATGCATAGTGTCAAAAACATTTTGACCTGTTGAGGTCTTATAATTCTTTGAGACAGATTTATTCCATTATGTTTCCCTAATCAAAAAAAAGTGAAAGCTAAAAGCTGACATTTTCCAAAGGGTGTCTTGAGTGCAAAAAGGTTGAGAACCACTGACTTAATGTACAGCATCATATGTGTAATGCTGCTGTTATATGCTTTCCAATTTATAGATTCATAGATTAGGAAGCAGATAGTGGATAAACTGGCAAGACAATTTTGGACTCAAATGCTAGTGATATGTAGTAACTTTCTCTCTTCTTTGCAAAACGTGGAAACACCATCAATAACACTAAACTATACTAATGTTTGACCAAGATCTGTTCTGTGATGAAGAATGGCTAGTTGGGGCTGACCCTGAGTAAGTCAAGGTTACTCAGAAGGCCAAAGTAAACACAAAGGAGTCTGAAGCAAGAAACAGTCTTTGACTGAAGATACACACCCATAATTTGTAACTCTGTTCACAAATTAGGTGAATGCCTAGATTCGTTGCTGATACTAAGCTGCCACAACGCAACCTTGATAACAAAGAAGAAAAACAAATGTCACTATCTACGACTAGTAAGGAGAATATTCATCATCCTGACAGATGATGACCTGGCCTAAGTAATACCTACACCTCCTTCAACTTCCAGCTGGACTACAACAATGCAGCCTACTAGGATAAGAAGCCTCAGCAGTAAGAAGTACAAACAGGTATAGAATAGCAGGTCTCTTCAGCTACTGTGTTAACAAAACTTTTTCTTGGGTCACTATGAAAGATCCTGGTAACAAAATTCATTAAAAAATTATAGGGAGCAAGCAAGAAGTCTGCCTTCATATCTATTGGTTATAGCAGTTTTGGTCTGTAACCCCAGTACTGGTTTGTTTTATACTAGGTAGTTAGAAACCATGTAGGCAGCAAGGACCAGGACCCACGACTTCGTCCTCCCAAAGGAGTGTTATAACCAGTACAAATCTACAGAGGCAGATTACCATTTCCTTGCTCTTCTTTTGCTCCTATGACTCAAACTCTTATGGTATTCTTACACATTATACTTAACATGCTAACAGCACTTACCACACTAGTGTCCAAGTGTTAAAACAGTAAAGCATGTGCTGAATGTCATCATGGCATAGTACCGTTAGCCTTTTCCAGAAAGGAGTATCACCAAATCATATTACCTAATGTGTTAAGCTAATGTCCAACTGCTCCACAGAGACAGTATGATCAGGAGACTCCAGTGTGATAGGGGGTGGGAGCCTGATAAGCAGTTGTTGCCTCCTGCTTTCACCGCTCAAGAGAAAACTGGCTGTGGTGTGGTAGGGCCGAGTGGGAGATACAAACAGCTCTGGGGCTCCAGTGCCCCACATTGCACAGAAGTCAGTTCAAGGCCCCCATGCAGAGTGGGCACTCGGTCCAGCTCTTGTGCAGTACCACAGTTGCTCCCAGCCACTGCACTACAGCACACTAGAGACTTGAACTAGCTCTGGTGTGGTGTGGGAACTGGCTCCCTTGCGGTGTCGGGGTCACTCCCAGCCCCCATGCCATATTGGAACTTTGAACATTCCAGGTGGGGAATGGGGAAGAGGAAAACAGACAAGCAGCTCTTTGTCCAGCTCCCAGCTTCCTTACCATATTGGGCCCTTGAATTGGCAAGGATGAGGTGCTATGCGAGGGAGTTGGGGAGTGGGATTGCAACAAGCAGCTGTTTGTCTGGCTTACAGCCTCTTTAATGCACCAGAGCCTTGAACTGGCTTCTGCGCAATCCCAGAGCCGACTGAAATTCATCAGCTTTTTAGACTCAGCCCTGGGACCCCACCAGAGCTGGTTCAAGAGCCAGTGGGGTACTACGATTTATATTTAGATTATAGTAAGCATTAATGTGCAACTGCTCAGAAAACTTTCTAAGTTATATTAATACGATCTAACTATAACAACACATTAAAAATAACATGTAACAATACCCTTAGTGGCACTGTGGCACAATTTCAAAGGAAAGCGGAAAGATTCCCCTCACCCAGACTATTTTATAGCCTAGTGATTAAGGGCTTTCTCCTAGAAAGAATCTGAACTTAAATCTTCTACTTTCTGGGTAAGGTGACTCTAGAACCTTAGCTTTGCAAGGACTTAGGCAGAGCTGAGATGCTTCCTAGGAACAATCTGAATTGCAGTGAAATTTAGGTAGGAGTTAGGTGCTATGATGTGCCTGAGCCTTCCATCTGAATGACTCCTGGACATGTTCAGAAGCCCTCACTTAAATACTTAAACAACTCTGCCATCCAAAATGAATAAACTTAATATATATAGTAGGTAATGAGTTTTGTAGTGACTGGCCCAGGGTCACTTTGAATCACTCTTTGGAATTTAGGCACCTAAAATCCCCATAAAGCAGTTAGACATCTAGGCTAGGGACAGACATTCAAAAAGCCTGAATTGATTCAATCTTTGCAGGTTAGTTTAACCTGGCTAGGCTGAATCCGTTTGTAACTGTACAGACATCCCAGAAATGCAGGCACATGCCTGCAGTGGCTCAGGCTAGAAGCTGGGGGGGCGCTATAGCACCCCCCTCCCCCTTCCACAGTGCTGAGCTGAGGGGAGCATGGCCAGGCTCTGGCAGGACACTGATTAGGGAGGGGTTCCCCCCCACCCCCACCAGTCAAGGAGGGAACTGATAACACAGTGTTTATCACCCCTAACTCAGTGTTTATCAGCCCATTAAGAAAACAACAGAGGGACATTACCAACTATGTGCTGATTCTGCGTTTTCCCCCCCCCGTCTGCTACAGCACGGACCTTAGCCAGTATGTAGTCTGCTAGCTAATGCTGAGAGGTGTCTGTGTAAGTCAGAAGGGATGGGGACGGGAAAGGAGGGGGGAGCAGGGGGAAGCCAGGCAGACGCCTGCAGTCTCTGCCAAGTTCCAGCCAGGGAGCAGAGGGGAGGGGCCAGCTCTGCTGTGGAGCAGAGAGCCCAACCCAGCCCAGAGAGCATGCTGGGATGCTGGAGGAGTCTGGTTTAACTTAAATCAGCAAGGGATCTGGGACAGACATTGCATAAACTGGTTTGACCCAAATCAGTTAAGTCTGATACTATATTCAAACAGGTTTATCTCAAACCGGTTTCAGCCATTTTCAAACTGGTTTAGGTGCAGTGAACATCTTTCTGTTACAAGTTTAAACCAGTTTCTGATCATTTAAACCAGTTTGTGTGTAATGTCTGTTCCTAGCCTAGACTAGAGAGCCAATCTCAATGTGGCCTGTAGTCTTTGACTCTTGGGAGTTGTACACTAAACCCTTATAAAAATGACTTTAAAATGGACCCAATTAGTTGGGTAATACATAAACAATAATAAAAAGTCCCAAAATTAAATAAGTAGGGATATTTTCCAATGCCTGCTTACCTACCAACTCAGAGGAGATCAGCATCTCAGTTACTATTCCTAAAAATGTTTACTTTTAAAATGAGTAAATCTTCTAAAGGTGTGGTATGGAATACATGGAGTGCCTCCTTTGCCTTGCACATCACACATATGGAATTATCACAACTGTAGTCTCACCACAAAGGCAATAGAGAGAAGTAAGGAAGAAGCAGGTTCAGGAACCTACAGCCTCTGCTGTACTAGCAGCAGAACAGGTCAGGCACACTGGACCATCCCAGGGAAAATTAAGTCTGAATATTTCCCCTGAACTGCGAAAAACCCACTGGGATTACAACTTCATGAAATGTAGTCTCTCCCTGAGTTTCCATTGGGTCTATGAAACTCTACACCACACCCAATACTGATCTGTGTGTAGTTTGCACAATTTTGCCTGAGGATTTTTCAGCACGCCAAGTATACCTCATGTTGTGTAATGAGTGTTGTATAATACTCCTTTTACAAGTACCAAGAAGAAAAATTAAGAGGAAGAAGTACTGATGAATTGGTACTAAATAGTTTCATTGTAAGAACAATTTTTGCAATGTTCTTGGTTATTTTGTCTATGTGGGTATCTATTCTGCAAGAACAGACTGTTCAGAGCTGCTTCAGAAGCTATGTTAGATCCTCACACTAGGTCCTAATGTATTAGTAAGAAGCATTACTTACAGAGGAACATTTAAGAAAACAGTTCAACATCCATTATTTTTTTCTATTAACATAATGTGAATTCTAGTTAGGCCTGCATTCATGTGAAAGAGCTAAGCTTAAGACCTGAACTCTTTTGCTTGCTCTTAAATTGGCACATTAAGGAAGTAGCACATTTAACCCATGCACCCTTGAAAAGGAATGATAAGTTTTAGACTCTATTAAGCCTCTTCAGCCAGAAGGATAGCTAGCAAGGCTTGGGGTTAAGAACGTGGAAGAATGACTTGAGTCCTATATGCTCTAAGGGAGACTCGAAGAACTGCTGTTGTAATTGTGTTTTATTATATTTTTAATAGATATTTGAAATAACAGCATGTGTTGCACAAAGTCGGAACTCTTTCTCTTCATTTAGAAGTCAAATCTGAAACATAAGTATTTTTGTCTACATATTTTCAAGAATATCAAATCACTGAACCTTCCAGTTATGAATTACAGAAACTCCATTCTTTTGGCAAGTACCCTGTTTACTTCTGCATACTGCAATCATACGAAGCAGAGATGAACAATGCATATATATAGTATTAAAACACCTGCATTTGCCAAGGTTGTCCTTCATTTGAACAGCAAGAAAGACATTATTGTTATCTGACTATGGCCTCTAGCTGATATAAGGAAACCCTGCTGTCAGAATCTGAATGACTCACTACTGTACATAAAATTTTTAGTTTACATAATTATACCTGTATAACCTGTGCACTGACTGTTTCCCTTTCTTGAGTTCACTCTCAAGTCTCCCTAAGGGAAAGGTGTCATATGTGATGAGACAACAGTTTATGAATCTACAAATTTGAAGGGCAGGAACAGAAGGCCAGATTTCATCTTAATTATAATAAGTAGTCCCACTGAAACACCTGAGAGAGCACGAATGCCACCTATTTAGATAGTAGGACTGGTATGGTGCTGTAGCAGTGATGGTCCAGGGAATACGTAACAAGATTTTTTTTAATAACATTTTTACTGGGCCAACTGTGTAATTGGGAGAGGTGTTTAGACAAGCTCTCTCTTCCCTAGAGTTGAAAAAGGGCACTCTATGTCCAAGAAGTTGTCTAACACCTCTCCCAACTATAGTGTCAATCCAATCAAAGATACCACCCCCCAAAAACCTTACTTTTCACCTACTTAGATGATATATTTAAAACAGCTAGTGGTATAAGAGTTGTGGAAATCAAGCACTTGGCTAGGTTTTAACAGCTGCCACTGTAGTATCAAGGATACTTAGTATTACCTGCAGCTACTACTATAATGTCTGCCAGTTGGGTATGGATCTTCAGCTGCTCTTTTGGAGTGTATCTGTGAGTAATCGTCACTGTAGCATCACCTGTAATGTACAAGAGTTGAAGTTAATTGACATTTATAAAATCATTTTCCAGAACTTATTAACTTGTGCAAATGATTAATTACAGAGGTGGCTAACAAGTGGCATGGACAGCTTGTGTCTGTGGCATGCAGCAAACTGGGGAGAAGGGATGCAGGACAGTGGCAAATAGGGCAGGAAAAGGAAGCAGAACTGCAGATCTGGCAGGGGAAGGGATTGGAGTGACACTTGGGGAGGGCTCAGAGCTAATTTGTGGCATGCCTATCAAAAATGTTGGGCCCCACTGATTAATTAGACTTTGATGGATTAAAAAAGTAGGGACAATTATATACATTTTTCTCATTTGCTACTAATTGCCAGCACAAAACTAGGGTGTAGTAGACACTAACCTGAATGAAAGAGATTTAGGCCTGTCCCGGTAAGTCAATATTATCAAGTGCAGGAAATGTTAATGCTCTTGGGCAACCGGAATTGTGTAACAGAACTCATACAAAAATAAGTAGCTTCCCAGGTGAAATGTTATGACCACTGATCTTAATTTTCTTGTAAAGAAGAGAACATTCAGTTGTCTGACATATTTGTGGTATACTTTCAACTTTTTTATTTTGGACTGCAAATAAAAGACTAAGCGTGTCTTCACTTCTTTAGCATTCCAGGATGCAGACATTTTAAGACCAGAATCTGCACTGTTTAAATATGTCCTTCTTCTCTGGTCTGATGGAAAGATCAGCAGAGGCCACAGAGAAGATAATTCCATAAAATAGCTGTGGTGGACTGTACTATTTTTCTGATTATATTAGTTCTCATTCCCCCTCCAGGAAAAGAACTAAGGGGAGGCTGATGCATCATAGAATCATCAAATTCAGAACTAAGAGGCTCACACGTTTAACAGAGTACCTCTGAAAGAAAAGCAGTCTTTGTGACAGGAAATCTAAGTAGGCTTTTTTTCCATTAGAGTAGAAGGAAAAGCTTGTTTAAAGCTGAAAAGTGCTTCAATGCCAATTTCATCAAAGATTTCCTTCAAAGGAAAGAAGCATCTGCTTGTTTAAAAAAAAACCCTATTTTAATCATGCATATAACCACATAGTCCTTTGAAATCATGAAAAAGATGAGTGAATAAAGAGGAGTAGGCCATAGGAATCCACATTCAGTGCAGTGGTCATAGGCTTTGTACAAACCTCAAATAAGGGAGTATTTCTTTTTATCTGTGATTATGCTAAAATAGCATCTGCTCCTCTCTATATATCACTACCTCTGACTCAAGAATAAACGTGGAGAAAGAGCTCTTACTAATATTTTTGTGTGCTCCTGCT